TGTGTGTTTTAGGCACGTCTTGCCGGGCGTGCCACATATTTGTGTTTTTGCCGGGATTTTGAGTTTGTAGGTACCTACTTACGGCAAGCGCCAGTAATCGAGTTTTGCGTTGCATACAACCGGAGTTAGTTGTGTCGAATCATGGCAAATATCGACAAGGACTTTGAGGCCCGATTTTTGCGCTTTCACGTGTACGTGTGTCTACGTCGAGTTTATGCATGTATATTTACCATCTCTCCGAGACACACACGCATGGCCTCTCTCGTTTCAAGTGCTTAAATGTTAAACTATTCGGATGGCTCTATTTCGTGCTCGATAGCCTTCGGTTGACCTCCTCTATTCCCTCCGGACGACCATTATTGGACACACGGTGGTGACGACCACCGTGTCGAGTACGCATTTTCTTTTCTTATTTTCTCTTTCTTTGTTTGCTTTTTGTGTGTCTTTGTGTTATTTTGTCTCGTTTCTTTGATCTTTGTGTCTCGTTTTTGTTTTTATCGCATGAACTTACATGATTATGTGCTTTCTCCTATGCTTTTTGGGTCAAGCATTGAGGACATTGCTTTGTTTTAGGTGTGGGGGAGAGATTTTCGTGATTATGCATGTTTGGGTGATGTTCTTTTCGTTCTTGTGCCTTATTTTTCGTATTTGTTGTGTTTTGGACCGGTTTTATTTGAGTTTTTGTGTGTTTGTGTCATCTCTCCCGCATGAAACTTGATGTTTGTTCGAGAGTTGAGATAGCTAAGTGGTGTGTTGAGATTATTGATTGGTTTCACTATTAGCGTTCATGCTTGATGTACTTGATGAATTTGACGGTTACCTTTAATTGATTGATGATTCGTTGACATTGGAACTCGCATATGGATTAACGGAATTGTTTTGTCCTTTGTTTGTTCTCGATTGGTTGTCTTGAGGCATGCTTTCTTTACGTTCGATGATCATTGTAAACGTGTTATCTATACACTTTTGGTACATTTTGATTGAGTTGAGATGATTATGTATTGTAATTGTGATGTATCCTTGTGCGCCTCTCCTTAAAAAAAAAAGAGAATAAAAAGTGAGTTCGCGAGGAAGTACGGATTAGGCTCCTCTTGTTCCGAGCCATTCGTGGATTGGGATAATGAGCCCGGGAAACCGGTCTAGGAAACTTGGGGAAACCCCTCGAGGTTAAACCTAGATCATCTCGTCCGGAAACCTCGTTTGGAAAAAGAAGCTCACGAAATGAGTTTGTGAGAGTCAACGGGATTAGGCTCCTCTTGGCTCGGTTAATCTCCTAGATAGATCGGGTCAATGAGCACGGGAAATCGGCCTAGGAGACTCGGGGATAACCCCCGAGGTTAAACCTAGGTAATAATCATCCTAAACGGCTCTCATTTAGAAAAAGTGGCTCATTTAAAAAAAAATATATAATAAAAAAAAAAGAAAAAAAAAAGAAAAAGAAGAAAATCGGGGAGTTGGCCTATTGATCTCATGCTTATTATTTCATGTCTTATAGATCTTTTATTGTTTTTGCACGTATATGTGAATAAAGGGGGTTTGACTCGAGTGATCATTCGTGAAATGACTTGGGACGAGTTTTTGTTTCGTTTGATTCACTATGTGGGGACCGTGTCTCGAATTGGATTTTGATTTTGGGATAACCGGATGATAATGAGAGTTTCATTTCGCATGTTCGTTAATTTTGGCCCGTTCGATATATCTCTTCGAGCTATTTGTTGTTTTGTTTGCTTGAGGACAAGCAAAAAGCTAAGTGTGGGGGAGTTGTTTGTTATGTTTTTGTGCTTATTTTTATGTGTTTATATTTGTGCTTGAGTCGATTTTAGGTTGATTTTAGTGTCATTCGGTCCATTTTATCGTTTTTCGTGTGTTTTTATGTTTTCTCTTTTACTTTGTATTTTGGTGTATTTTTCCGTGTTTTTGGGTTTAATTTTCAGGTTTGTTCCGAGGGCGAAAGGAAAGAGTCGAGCCTAGTTCCGAGATGAGCCTCCAAAAGTCAATTACGAGAAATTCCGAGTCCTTCGCACGAATCATCTCGAGCCACGATGTTTTCCAGCCTAAGTCAAACCGGACGCACAACACGCCAACGCACGCTCTACCGACCACTCGCGACCACGCGGCGACTATGGCGAGCTCGAGAGCCAAGCCCATGCCTGTTTGCTGCCGCGCACGTCCCCGCCCACACTCGCGATCACGCGGAACGCTCGGCGACCTCGCGAGTGCTGCGACCCCACGCCATCACAACTCTCGACCTCGCGGCGAAGCACGCGACCTCGCGAGTGCTCTCCTGCTGACGTCCACGCAGCGGAACTGCCCACGACGACGAAAGTGCTGCACTTTTCTCACCCGCGCCCGTGCCGCACGACCGCACACCTCTGCCCGCGAGCTCGCGAGATTCATGGCAACGTCGAGAGTTCATTTTTCCTCGTGCGCACCCGCACGCCCCCGTGCTAACCTATGCTGCGACCTTGCGAAAATGATGGAGACGTCGAGAGTGTCCCTTTTTAATCTGCGTGTTTTAGTGTGTGTTTTGTGTGGGACTATAAATATTTTTGTTCCTTTGCATTTTGGGAATCAATCTCTCATTTTTCACTTTTTCCACTTTGGGAAATTAGCTTATGTTTATTTTTTCTCTCTAGATTAGGAGTTTATGCTATTTTCCGGGAGATTTTCCGGCGACTTCGATTTCTTTCAAGTTTCGAGCTTTTGACTCCGTTTTTCATCGTCTACGCAATGGGAGAATGAGCATTTAGTTTTAAAGCTCTTTACTTCGGTTTTTGCTCCGCTTTTACGTATAATGTTCATTAGGGTAAATTTGGATTTGATTGATGATGGAGGAAATGCTTGAATTTGATTGCTTGCTTGAGTAGATAGAGTCGTTAAATGCTCGTTGATCTCGGTTAGACGACTAGGGTTAACAATCTAATGCTCGTAGCTCGTTTATTCCGTATGTCGATTGATTATCATCCGTTATGGTTATGGCATGAGACTCCGGTGATCTAGTTTGCTAATTGCTCGTCATTTGATCTTGCTTTTAATTATTTGCTCGTTTTAAAGTGCTCGATTAGTGTTAATCAACCATCCAATCAATTGCTTAGAATGTTTAGGATTTTATTTTCCCTTTTTTGTGATTTGGACGATCATTTAGTAGATAAAGCTCCGAATAGCATTCCTTCGAGATCGACCCGAGTCGGGTAGCTCGGTTATCCCTTGCCCACCAAATCTATACTAAACAGTACTTTGTCTATCTTCCACGCACATAACATTGAAAATGGAATGTTATATTCTGATTGAAACATTTTTGAATATTTGATGTCACGTTTTGATAGGATTATTTGCACTCTCGTTAGTGTATTGTGCTCGAACATATGTGCAATTACTGCAAAGTATGTCTTCATGTAATGTTTGATAATTTCAAAAAATAATTTAGCATGTCTGGAGAAGAACATGTAAAGATTTTGGAAACTCAACTTTTATTTTGAGATAAAATTCGTTCTCACCTCTTAGGGCAATGCCTTATGGGGTGGGTACCAATTTCTTTATCTGCACACATAGATAGAGATAGAGAGAGAGAGAGAGAGAGAGAGAGAGAGAGAGAGAGAGAATTTTTTATGCGATTAGAGTAACGTAGTAGTTTATACAATAATGAAAAAAATACCAGCAACTTTAATAACACGGTTGGTTTATTTTGCAAATATTTATGAACTATTAATAGAAATACCTTATAAAAATCACACAATCACGAAGTTTGACTATATTTTTTGCCAAAATGTTTATAAGCGTTTAAATAAAATAAATATTTTGATGTATCGGGGCTCCATCGAGTATGAATGAATTTTATGAGAATTGTCAAAATAAGCGAAAATCACTTTTGAATCATCTAACATGAATAAATAAAAGAATTAATGCATCTATGATATACATTAGGTTCTTGTGTAATTATTTAGTATTCTTTTTTTTTTTTAAACTAAGGGCTCAATTATATTTTTGCTGGAGTTGTAATATATTATTCATTCTTTTATATTAGAACATCATTATGCTATTTAAAAAAATAAAAAAGTGCTCATTTGTTTTATATTTTATATTGTTCTTGTAATGATATGGTTAATAAATTAATTAACTTATTTTACTAAACTTAATCAGATAAAAACATTCACCACCACATGTATCGTACATGTACTTTACTAGTTGATTGATTGAAAAAAAATCTCGACTCGAAATTACTCTTATTATCAACAATTTAGTTTAATAATATAATCATGTACCATAGCTTTCAATAATCTCCATAGACATATGAAACCCCAAAAAGCTAGTAATAAAACTATTAAAAAAAAGTAGAAGGAGAAAAACCTATTGCCCCAAGTTTTTTTTTTTTTTTTTTTTT